CATGCTCCAAATTGCGTAATCATCGATGGTCAAAGTTTTCTAGCTGATGGATATTTTCGACTGACAAATCTAGGATCTTGCTACCATTAGGCAGAACTGACAGAATGGTGACACATTAGATATAACTTTTCCATCTCAGTGAAATACCACATCTAAGCCGAAGGTGTTTCAGTCCTGAGCACGCTGCTCAAACCTTGGAAATGAGGACGGTTATCCCTTTTGATTCACCACCGTCATTATTCACACAACTACGTAAGAAGGAAAGGCGATTGACTATAACTAATTCCCGGCCATTTACTTTCAAAGTGGGTATAGTCGACACCCCGGATTGTAGCATCATTACAGATTTCAAAGGTGTAAAGCGCATGTCAAACAGAGTTACAGAACTTACTTATCTGTCAGGCGAGCTTTGATCGTCCTCCAAACATTCGAATAAACGAGCGATGTCATCGGCGTACTCTTAGTCGCACACTTTTCATCCAGCTGTCCATTCAATACCTACATTTTGGAGACAACTTAGTGCGTTCTCCAGTATTTCAACTACGATGAAATTGGACGTGAATGGCGAAATAGGACACTCTTGATGAATGCCGCTGCTGGTAAGGAAGGATCTACTAAGCTCGTTTTAGACACTCCCTCGACCAGATGTGACTACAGTGACTTATGTGAATTAACATACTTCTGGGAACTTCTCTCTTCAAAAGAGGTCAACACATTCAAGCTGCTCGATAAAATGAGTCTAAGGCCCCGTTTAGGTCAAGGAACACTACAATCGTGGTTCGACGGTAGGTGTGACGCAGTTCGAGTACCCGAGGCAACGTAAAATTTGACCAGTACATCTACGAACAGGCAGGAACTCAGCCTGCTGTTCGTAGAGATTGGCTTCTCTAACTGGAGTTAGGCATCAGAGTATGATGAGGGCTAACACTGTGATGAAAGTTGGGATAAAAATTATCTCGCGATAGTTTGCGCAATCGTAGCCAAATTCCTTCTTGAAAGTGATGTTTACGAACTCAAATGTTCCTCACGAGTTACATGTAGCAGTTCTTCGCAAACTGCTTCGAAAATTCCTACTAGCCAATTGGCAGTCTGATGGTATGGTGAGTTTTAAATAGATAGAACTAGCCTGAATGCCTTGTTAACCTTGAGTAACCAGTGAATACATGGAATGGTTGCCCCAGAGAGCTTGATTCAGTTCAACACTGGTTGGTCTAAATGAACATGTTTTTATTGGAATTGAAATTATTCACAATTTGTTTCTCTATATGTGCCGATTTCTCTCTGTCTTCAAGCCATTGCCAAATTTGTTCCCATCAAACAGTTCCTCGGACATCTTGATGTAATCGGATCGCTTTATCAGAACACCTAGAGATCCTTTATCTAGTCTGCTTATTATAATGCCAGTTCGTTGCTGGGTCTCTTTCAGCGCCACCAGATGTTTCCGTATTAATGGTCCTCGGGTATATCCTTGCGGTATTGATAAAAATAGTCAGCCAGCGTGGCTTTGAAATTTTATATAGTTCACCTGGGTAGTTAGGTACTAAGTGAAATGGTTCTCGAACTGAATTTAAAATTCAAGCTGGGTTATTTTCCGACAAGAACAACAAATCTTCCCACTGAGGGAAAAGGCTTCGGTGAAAATGAGACGTACTTTCATATAAGATAAATCGAAGCAGTTGTCTATGGGCTGCTTGATGTTAATTGGGTTGAAGTTTTGCCAGATTCTTGCGGCATCTGACGTTGATAACAGGTTGAACTTAATGAGCAAATTCTTCATATTCACAAAAAAGATACTCGTCCACCTATATTTGTCTTTGGAATACAAATTCCTTTCATATTCTAGCATCTTTAGACGTGCAGAGTCTCCCAGATTTTAGGCAAGTGTATTCAGGGTTTCGAAGTTGAAATAAATCCGACTTTTGCATAAAGACTTCCATAAGTATTTTGGGTGCATATTTTGTTCCATGAAGTTATTAATACATTGAATCACTGTTTTTGTCTCGGCAAGACGCTTGGAGAAAGTAAGAAACACATTTCTCATTGCTCGTCTCTTCCAATCTGAATGATCTATCGACCCAGCGTGGAAATGTAACCCCAAAGCTTTATGCGGTCTGTACACGCAGGCTTATGAATCGTTTGGAAACAACTGTGCACCTTTGGGTTTGTATTTTAACACTTCTCTTTGTGTATTTTATCGACAGACACGTATGCAACACCACGAACCTAGACACCGTTCGATGTACGGTACAGTTTTGCATTTATTATCAAATAAATAGAGTAAGTTTAAGCCAACTAGTTCATGATTCTTGCTGTTTTCATCTTTATTATCCCATAAACGAAAGCAGTTGTACATCTTACGAGTCAGTTTCTGCTGCGTTGTCAGGATACAGCATGACCTATACTTTCTTATATAATTCGGTTCTTGACCACTATGTGTTTTCCAGTGCATTATTTGCGCATTTGGTTGTTTTAAGACCCTCAAAATCATCAGAGATTATGCAATTCGTGTTTTCCGGATTTACACAAAGAGTTTTGTTCGAGTGACCTCCAGAAATCACTTGACGGATGAATTGGGAGAGATGTAATCGGACTAATAATCAGTGTTTAACAATATTGATTTTCTTTTCGAATGCTGCCCAGAAAAAGATGTACTGAATATTAATATGTACCATTTCGGAAAGGGCCCAGTTTGCCTCTTGCAAATGTAAAACATAAGCTTCCTTAATAGTTCATTCTTGATGCTTATTAAAATGTCGATTTTTCCCCAATTTTTTTTTCTTTTTAGAATGCTGCTCATACTGTGGTATTGACCTTTTCACTTACAAGCGTGTCGGCTTTTTCATATTTTCCAATTGAAGGGATCATCTATTTTCAGCTGAATGTTTATCCATTCCCTTGTATTCTATTTTTCCTTTTCAGCATTAATTTATTTTTTGCATTTTCGTTGTAAATTTTGAGCACTACTTGCTTGTTATTATCTTTACCGTAAATTTCATTTCCCGAGATTTACAATTCATAGTCTAGACTTTGGTACCATCTCATTTTCCAACACTTCCTAAAGGAACACGGATGACATAAACAAAGATTAGTGGATAATATATTTTATTGCGTTCTCAATGATGATGATAAACTAACTAGAAAGCAGTGATATTGTGGTGATTGCTCATGAACTATGATCTCCTTTGTTCTATTGAACATCCCGAATTTCCGCTTATTACAGTTCTATTCCGTTGTTGAGTTCTGTGTTCTGATTTTGTTTCGAGTCTTAGTTCTGGGTTGGACTATTACTGCACGGATTCCGATAGGCATACAAATTACTAGTCTGAGTGCTAACCATAACAGGTATTGTAATTCTCAGTCCAAAACCATTTCGGCTTATTCCTCAAACTATACTTCCTGAATGAGGTATTTGCCTGATTACTCAAAAACCCGAGCAAACGTTACTTATTTTACCCCCACCCCTAAGTTCCTTTACCTTTCGTATCAATTCTGGTAAACGTTAGGCAACCATTGCATCATCTGCTAATCTTTTTTTATAAACAAACAGCTTGCTATTCTAAAACATCTTTAACAGCCTCCCAACTTCTGTCGGTTGCATGAGGTTAGACGGTGAATTTGGATTTTCCGATATTGAACCCATATAAATGCGTTAAACCAGGATCGCTAATCTATTACACCCAACCACGTTCAATTGAATTTAAGAAGGTATGTTAATGCCCATTTTGACTATAAGTGGAGCTCTCCATACCAGTTGGTTTCTTTTGGTATTCAGCCTCTCTTTGTTTGCAATCGAACAAACCCCGAAGCCACATAAGTCAGAGGTCGCTTTTTGTCGTTGCATGTAAAAGTAACTCTACTATAGTATCACCTGTAGTTTACACACTTAAAAAAATTGGTGTGCCTTGCAGTTTATTACTCAAATCTATCATTAATGGCATTACCTTTCATTAACTGAATGGTTTATCTATTATTTTTTTAGTTATGCAGTATAAAGTAACACTCTCGTAGGAGTAATGTACGTTTCATTGTTTGAAAGCATTGAGATGCTTGTAGCTAGTTTACCAAAAGACTCCTACCTGCTGCCCAGCTCTGTTTGCACGTGCAATACCAAGTTCTCCGCTACAATATATTCACTTCCAGTAGCAATCAGTTTCACAAATTTGGAGTCAGTCTTATAGTATAAGCGAAATTATGCTTTTGTTGATGCGCTTCCTGATTGCTGGGGTTTAAGAATGGAGTCTTACTAATAAATTCTCTTATAATCACTGAGCATTGAAACAGTGTTATTTCTCCCCTAGTACACATTTCACTGCAACATAGACTCACCATAACCCTCTAGCTGTACACTTAACCTTTCACTATTTATATTATTTAACATCATCTCCTTATCATTTCTGTTTTCTTTTTACCTGGTGCTGTAAACGCGAAACACGACCGGATGCATACAACCTTCCTTCAATCAGCTGACTTATTTCGTCATCACCAATGCTCAATACAATGCCTATTTGATTAATTCCTCGAATACACATGTGGCTGATCTTCTGTTCATATTAGGGAAAGTTGATTGCTCAGCTGCTGCACGCTTGAGCTGTTTATTCAGATACACAGATATATCACATTTGAACGGGAATGGTCTTTACTAAATCACCCAATTCTTATTTTTGGGTTTGCAGTTAGGGTCCTTTTGCCCATGCCTGTAGCACAATGAGTATCCATCCCAAACCTTTGGGATTCATATTTTGCAACCGGGGCGGTTAGCCCCGTGTCGGTGAGTCAATCTGTTAGAGCTGACAATAGTAATCTTAGTAATGAGTCCTGTTTAATGTTTATATAGCTTATTATACCCTTTACCCCTGTTCTGACTAGGATTTCACACAAAACTATCTTAACAAAATATTTTGATCAAATCTGTGGGAGACAGTCTTTATTGGTTGTTTACTCCATCATTGTCAAACAGACTAGATCGGAAAGTGTTTGTTGATTGGTATAAATGAAAATTTTTATTGTACACTATTTACAGGGTCCGGCGAGTCCTGACTGACATATTTGTTCGGCACAATGTTCTCACCGCCTACCGGGTTAGCACAATGTAATTCGTCAAATCGAATGTCCAGTGACAGCAACTCGTCATCGTCGTCCTCATCCACGTCATGCGCTCCACTGGGTACTTCCCCATGGACTCGCTGCCATCGCTTTGTAGATTTCACTGGGATACTTGTGCAACCTACACTGTCTACACTGATATTCCGATTGCACAGTACCACAGCCTCGTTGTTATTGCTAACCGTAGTATAGATAACATTGTTCTTTTCCAAACGCATGCGACTGATGAACTTGATAGACTCCAACGGATTCGGCGTGGTTGGTTGATCAAGGTCACAGCGAATCGCAACTGACTGGCCTAACCCGTCTGCTTCGAGCTGACCGTTGACAGAATTTAAGGGCCCGAAAATCTTGCGCACGGTGTAGTCCAGTCTGGCCGTCCTTGAATGAATGAAGACACGCAGAGGAAAGGAGAGAAGAAATAATGCAGCTAGTAGAAATGTACCTTGTCGTAAGTAGATTGGGACTTGAGGTGCTGAACGGCTGACAAACACTTGGTTGGGTATCGTGCCGTGGGGAGAGAGTTGGATTACTAAAAAAGAAGAAAGGGACAGTGATCACCATGAGTATTTTCACATATTCGCTGATAACACTGTGAGTCGATCTGTTGTTTAGCCAAAAACTTATCAAGTTGGATTCAGTAAAAATCTATGGGAAAAGGCAAGTTAAGTAGAACACGCTGACTTGTAAATGACTGATTAAAATTTGCCTGTGATAGACGTTCGTTTGCAATTGTTCATGAATCTCAATTATAACCTTTCATTTACCACTGCACTCTATCCAGTCAGCCATGTACCAAGGGAGCACTGGACTATGGTTTTGCTTTCACCAGAGCTCATTGATCATGTTTCTCAACCTCCTGTCTTGGGTTAGAATTCCAAACACATTGCATGAAAGATGTACGTTACCCTCATGCTAAACTCCTTATACCTGATTTGGTGTGAAAATTTGATTAGACTTAAAAGATAATCTCATGTGTCTGTATTCTTTTCTATCGGGCAGTCATAAGCGAATAAGTATCTCTAAAGATTAGATCCAAACAATTGTAAATTAGCACTTCTGGTCAGCTTGGACGTGCACCAGCTGGTAACATACAGCTTCCATGCCTGCATTTGAAACCTTAAGCAGGATGGCGAATATGCATAACTGATGAGCTCTAATGGGAGCCTAATTGAAGTCTGGGTGCCCCTGCGTGCATCACTGACTGCAAGAACTGAAAATTGTGCTCATTTATGGAGTCTGAATGATGTTCAGTCCAAATGAATAGGACGTACCTCACACTAGTCCTCTCAAGTAGTTGTGAGTTAAATGATAATTTGCAAACGTTTCAGTATATTTATAGAATTGTATTGTATTGTATTGTGTATAACTTTTGCAAGCACTGGAGCTCACATTTCAGTTAAAAAATCATACACGCTAACACGGAAACTGTCTTTATGAGTTGAAGAATTGTGCGGAAAAGAATAATTGAGTTTATACTAATTCACGCTAATGTCACTTGTAGTAGAAAAAACATTATCATGCACAGGATTCTTTTTGGTGATTCATTCGTTGGGTACTGCATCACCATTTATATCACACAAGTTGGAGGAATAACAATTAATCATTGACTAAATACATCCCATTTCATTTCCAGACCGGATGATACTCACACATTATTGATCACTTATAGGCTTTGGTCTGGGATTTGAGGGAACGGGAATTAATGTATTTAATGTTTGAACTGTGAAAAGATTACTCGTCCATGTGACCTTCGTGCCAACTCATGGACGCCGTTCACATGTTTTGCGCCCGATGAGGTGTTAACCGTGCCACCTTCAGTATTATTACGAACTATTTTGGGAGAATAGAGAGAGGAATTAAGTAAAGGGATTCCGACTACTTTTGCTGCCTCCTGGAAAAACTTTTGTTTGACATTGTCCCTTCATCAATCAGCAAATCTGGTTGGTGCTCGCTGATTCATCGAGATTAACTCCTCGTCGAGCAACCAGTATGCGTTGTCCCAAATAAAACATGGACACACAATCACGAACAATGATGAACACAATCAATTTAAACAAGAGCTGTAAGCAAAACGTTGCATAAGATTTTCATAATTGTTGTGAATCACTGTTACCTTGCACAACTGCGTCCATAACAGACATCACATCTTTGTAAGTGAATCGTGTTCTCAACAGCGCTACAAAGCAGTTTGTTCAACCTCATTTTTCTTCTCTACTTTCCTACTTACTAAACAAGTATTTGTGAGTAAAAAAATTCAGTAGGGAGGAAAAGATGAAATCGTAGAGATATTATGTGATTTGGTGATCTTGGGGTTCGAATACACAAGCTCCGAGCGGATAACTTGCTGACGTTAACCTCGTGATCATTGCCGTGAAAGGTAGGCAATGAACACCGTATCTCTGAGAGTATCGAGGATGAGGCGAAAACTGGCTCTTTTTGCATGAAGTTTGCCTGAGCACTGCGACGGAAGAGACAACCAATCAGTGTTAAGTTCTGTACCAACAAAAGAAAACTCTGTGGAAATACAAACTTTTCTATTACTCGCCGTTGTGCCTTACAGAGTAGCAAAAAGGACAAACCTTGAACCGCTTGATCACCAACAATCATTTCTCTGTCTACGTGTTCCTTAGAATGTGATCCGATTGTCTTTACAGAATGTAAAAACGAAAACTTTCATATCATTACAGTAGATAACTTGAGAAGAAATATACTATTTAGTGACTATTTTAGTTAAATTGCAAAACATTCAATAGTTCTCAGATGTCCCGTTTTAATTTTCAAGATTATGCTCATTATTTATATATTTCTTTCGCTTTATTTCTAACGAAGAAGTCGCAAATATTATACAGCAATAAACTTGCCCCTCCCTTCAACGTGGCTACCTCATCAACATTTCAGGTTGACAATTAACTTTTCGATTGTTATTTGATTTCTCTTCAGCTCTTTTCCCGACTGACTGAATTTGCTTACACCGGACTGATCCGGCTTATTGCGATTCACCGTCACTCAGTAATGATGACTCATGAGCTTTTATGGCTTGTGGGCCATTAGGCTAAGTGTATGGTCTAAAATTTAATGCTATCCTTGTGAATGCAAAAATTCATTCAGATTTGCATGAAAGTTTAACTTACCTCAATCGCTAGTAGGACGACATTCATTTAAACTTCGGTATTATTTACAAAGCATAATTACCATTATTCTTGAGCGTTACTGAATTCGACACGTTATGTGCTTAATCAATCTGAACTAGCAGATACCAGTAATGGATTATGGCTTTTATTGCATGGGTCTAACTGTATGCTACTTTTTCAATCTCCAAATACTTCATCCATATTTTTGCTTAGCGAAATCATGTATACTGGTCGAAAATGAGCACCGGGCATCTGTTTCACCCACCTTGGATGTCTGTCCGGACTCGATCCGTGAACTATCAGACTGAGTTAACCTTGGTCCACAGGATCGATTTTCAACATCTCAAGCGCATGGCTATATCATCAATCAAAAATTAGGTTTGAGGAGATTAGAGAACTTTCAAGGGATGAGACACCGTACCAAAATCTCATTACACAGATTAAGGTGTCGATAAGCTTGCATGCGATAAACTACAGAACGTTTTCGTGCTGTACATAATTTCTCCTGTTGTTAGCAGTAATCTCATTTTCCCTTTCAGCTTTCATGCACAACCCGCGAACAAATAAATCCTGCATCGGCGTCTGCTGAACTTATCATTTCGAAGAGATGAATAATTGATCAAAGCGCAATAAACAATATAAAGTACTATGGTGCAATACTATAGTGACGATGACTAAAAACACCCAAAACAAAATGGCTCATCTGAGGGCCCCTCCCCAGACAGCAGGCAATATTCTATCAGACCCTTTGATCTCTTGCTCACGCTGACCCTACTGAAAATAGAAACTCAATTGGATTATGGTTACTTCCGTTTACAGAAAAATGAAGAACCAATTGAATTTCTGTAGTTGTTAGACCACACGCACACACAGCAATTGATGTTTGGTTTCTAAATTAGTTCAGCTAGTGGCAATGAGAAAATTGGGTAAATGCCGCTGTATTGATAAGCGGCGTAGGTTATTATGAAAAATTAACAATGGATGACAGAAGTTCGATTTCCGGATTCAACTATAACATGGTTATTACTGAACTCGACTAAGGAGGCCTGTTACATCCTGTATAACAGTGACCAGTGCCCTCTAAGCAAGAAATGTATCACGTATCTTAAGAAACGTTTAAAATATCATTTTGAGGTCGCAAATTGAATGGATACTTCTGTTCAGCCAATTCAGGGGAAATTGAATGCATAGTTTCCCCGTGTTGAGTTTGAATAGAGAAGCCAGAATTTTTGAACATATCTATTATTGATCTCATAAACTATAGTATGCACATGTACATATACAGTAAAAGGATCCCGTTTACATTATGCAAATCTGTTTTAGGCTTCTCTATTCAGTTTCACCGAAATAATTAGGCCCCGTGCTAGGCAAATTAGTTCTCTGTAATAAGGATGCAATAATAAAACATGAAGACAAATGGCTGACTTTGGTAATTACGATGAGTAGTAATAATAGTAATGATTTATCTAAACACTATTTTCCCAAAAATAAAAACAAAGATCTGCATCGTTTTGATAGCATTTGACTTGATAACAACCTTGAAATCGTAACGGACTTTGTCTCCCTCAAAACACACATGTAAAATTTACACGGGTTCCACCAGTTTAAATAAGAGTAACTCCAAATCCAAATTATCAGATATGAGCTGTTGATTTCTGAACAGTGCAAACAGATCTCTGCTAGCTTACCGAAGTCTAATGGTCTAAGTCTCGGCGAGAACACAAAAGTAGACTAGTTGGAACAGTCAATGGACAAACAAGAAAGCTGTACCCCAGTTAGTTCAAACAACACTGTCCATTAGATTGTAGTTTCAAGGCTTAAAATGTTCATGGGATATTCTGATTATGAGAAAAGTCATAATAATACTCCTTTTAACTTTCCTTTTAGTGAACATCATTACGCAATCAACCTTCTGTGAGGGAACCGTAACACTTGTTCAGGTATGGCCTGAGGATACAAAGTCATAAACACGGTTGCCTTTTTAGTTGATTGCAGTCCCGAGTCATCAAGTGATCTACAAAGGTTACTTTTTTGTCAGTGGGAGGAACTACTTCGGGAAGGTTCCATTGCAGACCAATAATTATCCTGTTGACAGTGCTAAATTTTCAAAAATTGAAAAGGTAATTCCTGAGATCTGATTATTTTTATAGAGTAATGCCACATGTAGTGTTAAACTCGGGGTCGTGTCCTGTTGTCCCGATAAACAAAGTCCTCTAATTTATCTGTTATGCGAACTCCGAAAGGGATGGCTACATTCAAGGTATGGTTTGTGCAAGTTTTGTCTCTCATTGTTAATATTGGCTTCATTTTGAATTCTTGTGATATGAGAGGAAAGTATTCTGACTCTGAATGTCCCACTCAAATTTTGTAATGAAAAAGCGCTTGATCAAGATTTAAA